GTTTCTATAGAGCAGGCTGGTAGTTGTGAATACCATATTAACGCCCCTACAGTGAGGGTTGTGCCAAATTTCTTCAATAAAATAGAGGACACTTGTTCCTTGGTGAGATCGTTGCCCTTCACAGCGGTGACGTAATGAGTCACGTGATCTTCGAGGTCGGCTGTTGCGTCATATATCTTGAGATATGATGGCATTTTGAAGGTCTTTGGTATGGCACGTGGGGTTTCTTCCTCGCTATACAGGTGCTCTAACCTGCCGGCGTCCCTCTTTGGCAGTAGCTTAGGGGCACCCGATATCTTGTCGACCCATTCTTGGTGTTCTTGAGTGTTTTGTTCTCATGCTCCATTTCTTCCATTCTCTTCAGAACATCGGTGAGGACGTCTCCACCTGCACTGTTAGTAATATTGTGAGTTATACCTAGCGTTGGAGGGTCTATTTGGTCGCCCTATTCGTTTGCTTGTTGTACCGTGTGGGCTCTTGCGGTCTCTATGGTCGTTCATTGAGCTTTTTTGTTAAGCACGCTTACTAATTTATCGGTCAACCACGCTTCAAGGAGCTTTTTCATTGCCGGTGGCGTCCCTTCTCCTATGGACCTAGAGGCCCCTTTTTCTATTTGGTTTTGTCGTGCTACAATTTGGGGGGGGGGGGAAGAGGGAGGCGACCTCTCGCGCCTGGGGGAGGAGGGGGTGTCACGTCATCGCCCACTGCTTCATAACTCTCGTTGATAGTGTTCATGAGGTTACCGAGGATATCACCTGTCACTTTAGTCCTGTCTCTTTGGTTACCTGCCATGTAAATTTTCGTACGTGCAAAGAAAGAGAAAAACCTTGTGGTTTTTTAGGTTAGCAACTCACGTGAGTTGTAGTTCTAAAGGAAACTAAAAGATTAGCTAAGAAGTCCCCACAAACGGCGCCAAACTATTTGACCAAAATTTAGATGTGGGTTTAACCAATTAGATTTAATAAAATAGAGTCAATCTCGGCTAATACGATTTAGTCATGTCAAAGGTAATTTTTGACCCATATAAGGGGAGGGGAGGACAAAATGTCAACCTAAAAAATTTGGTCAAGAAAATACTAAAAGATAATCAAAAGTAGAATGGTAAATTTGGGTATTTCGGCACATTGATTCTCCATCTAAATTTTGAAAAAAAACGCTTTAATAAAATCAAGAATAAATACAAAATAATTTGTTCACAATAGAAAGCCAATAAGTATAACAAATACTTAATTTTTTAATAACAGTCAAAGCTACAGAAATAAAAATTTGGCTTACCCCAAAAATAGTATTGTTGTTATGAAACAATAAAAGAAGAAGAAGAGTATTACAGAGAAAAGTAGAGAGAGAGAATTCTTATTGATTTTTTGGGATCAATTACAATGGAATAACCCTCTATTTATAGGGAGAGAGTGACTTATCCACCAAGTAATAAACCCTAGAATCTCTCTAAATATAGACATTCACCATAAATATAATTCTATTTATAATACTCCCCCTTGAATGTCTATTCAACAGATAATGTGCCTCGTTAAAACCCTAACTAAAATAAAACCCAATGGAAAAAAAATTCTAGAGAAGGAAAAAGAGTACACATATCTACAATACGCCTTTTGGTTGCCTCGTTAAAAACCTTGCAAGGAAAACCCAGTGGGACAAAACCTTGTAAGGGAAAAAAAAAGTGCAACGCGTATTAACTCCCCCTGATGAGAGCATCAATTCACATCCTTAAGCATTTGCAATCCAATCTTGTGCACCATCTTCAAAAGATCTTTGGTAGAGATGTGATAAAAAGATCAGCCATATTAACTTGAACGAATTTGTTTCACCTTGAACTCATCATCCCTAATAGATGTATTGTCTTCATATGACCTTGTTGTAATCGTCAGTTCAATATCTTCACATAGAGGTGAAAACTCTTGCTATCATATTATCATGCATATAGTTATAACAACATACATTTGTGCACAAATTGCACTGAGGAAGTGGTACTTCAAGATCAAGAATTGTATATGCTTCAAGCAACTTAAATTCTTCATGGATTGTCATATAAGTTATGTCATATAAGCGATATAATTGACTTTATCAAGTTTTCATGTCATGCTAGACATATAAGATATCGAAAACTGATTGAACATACCATTGACTTTATACTTTCAAGTGTTTGAACTGCAGGTCCAAAACTATATGTCTTTCGTATGAAACAATTTCTATTCGAATTGTGTCTCTTTCATTTGGCCAATATTTTTGTGTCTATATTCGACAGACTTAAGATCCTCATCTATACTTAGTGCTATCATAGATGTCGTCGATAAAAAATTTATATCAGTTCCAACCTCCTTATTTTTCATAAACACATAACATAGAGATCTCTTCATTCATATATTCAGGTACTTGAATCTCTCATGAGATTTAATGAAGTGTTATGTCATGTGATCTTCTAGATCACTTGCCTCCTTTATTATGATCATTTTGATCATTTGCTCATCTTCTTTATCAAGAAGTGTTATTTGAAAACGATTTGTCTATACGCTTTAAGCGTACCATAGACTTTGTCCTTCTAGGACTTATTCTAATAGGAGCATTTGCAGTGAGAATATAGTTACTTTCTTTGGGTCAGCAAATGCGTCTGGCATGCTTTGCAATAAATTGCACACGAATTATCCTTTGATGAACTTCAAGTTCATATTATCTTATTCGAGGATCTAGATGTACAAATGAGATAATTCATTCAACGTAACTTTTTCTCAACTGTTTATCATGTCTCCCCCTCATGTTAGAAAAACTAACTTGTTACCTCAACTTTGAGAATCCACCTTTGTGCGTTATGGTGTTAATCAAAATATACACCGCACATCAATAATAATAAGATGGAATTATTTGGTTCCTGACCCTGAACCACTTGTGAGGGGAGAAAATAATATACTTTGGTATATAACGTATATCAAACTGATATAGATAACTTTGTTCTCATAAGCAATTATTTAGCTATTAAGTAGAGACACTTAATGAAATATTTTTCTAAACCAACTGTGATGTAAACCAACTTATCAAGATGAACTTCTTGAATAGAAAATCTGGAAATTATGCTCGAAATTAAATTATTGAGAAAGTTACCTCGCAAAACACCATGTTGCGGGTTATTAATAATCGCACATGTAACCATCTCATAGATGCATCTTATGTGGTATACATGGTAGGTGAATGGACCCATACTCACCTTTGATATTTTCAGAATTTATGGGATTCGATCCCAATTTTGTTGGCTTATTAATTAATGAGAACAAGCAACATTAGAGAATTCGTAAAGAACTTTCTAGTTCTTTAATATTTACCCATGTGAATTCTCTTTTATTTTTGCACATCATACTTAAATTGATATGGCTAAACCAATTATGCCAACTGAATAAATTATCAATATTGATAAACTTCAGGTTTCCACCATGATGTGTGCAATTATGAATAAACTCCAAGTTTATTATGATATGGGTTTTTATATCAATAAATATCCACTTCATTGTGGTATTCTTTTGTTTATGTAGTATAAATTGGAGAATAAAGCGGGTAGCTTTTCACACATATTTACCCCGCTACAAGTTGTAGTAATAGAAGATATTAAATCTTTCCTTTATTTATAGTCTCAGTATGACCAACCGCTTTCGCGAATACTTTAGAAACTCAATAAGTTTCTTTGAGACTTACTACAACACAACGTCTTATTGATAATCAATTTTCTCCAAAATAGTATAATTGGTTCTTCTAGAGCTCTCAATTAATTTTGTACTACCACATATTCATCAACATCCATATGGTGAATATCTCTTTTAAAGATAAAGTTATACCATTATGGTCATGGTCAAAATTATATGCAAGATCTGTTCCTTGCATTACCGTTGTCTTTTAACAATCACAATGCCAAAATATTTTGGCGTACAATAGGTACGTGACCAATGACCATTCATGCCATAATAATGACATTATTTTCTTATATCATCTCAAACCTCCTTTTTGAGGTGAGTGCGGTATATTCACTACCACTAGCACGTTCATATTCTTTGAAGAATGAATATGTATTCATAAATCAGATGTTGTCACATTCACATCATGAATGGACCATAATCATCTATATGTGCTTTCCAAAATCTCATGTCAAATCGATGACAAATATTTTTCACAGAGTGAAAGATTATTTTGAGAATCCTTATTGTTCTCATTACCACAAATGATGACGATTATAATTTCGTCTATTGCCACGTCCATATCCATTGATACATTCATAGTAATAATTTTGTCTTCTTTCAGACTTATCACATACTGCTATCACATTCTCTTAAGGGAATGAGAATGAAGCAAATTTAATGGGACGGGTTTTCAATTCTTTGCCCACAATCATACATGAATTTGATCATAGCGAGGCATAGAAATTTTACCACTTCAGGTGGTTATAATTTCTTACAAACTCCATTAGAGTTATAATCAAACTTTGTTGTGTTTGCTTGTATTTAAAATCAAAGTATAGAATAAAAGAGAAAAAACGGTAAAATACTTACCTTAAATTCAGAATTTAATCATGAAGGAAGTTCATGGAATAATTGACAATCATTATGCTCAATCCCAAAGCTTCTACTCAATTGGTTAGAGTCTCGTGCTGATAACGTGTTATGAAACAATAAAAGAAGAAGAAGAGTATTACAGAGAAAAGTAGAGAGAGAGAATTCTTATTGATTTTTTTGGGATCAATTACAATGGAATAGTCCTCTATTTATAGGGAGAGAGTGACTTAGCCACCAAGTAATAAACTCTAGAATCTCTCCAAATATAGACATATTCACCGTAAATACAATTCTATTTATAACAATTGTAAGATTTTCCTTTGAAATTTCGATGAGTTTGAAGTAATATTATTCTTAATCAATGCATGTCCAAGAATTTTCCAAGAAAGAGAGGGATGAGAAGCGTCTACACGTACTACTATATTAGTTCATCTACTTGTCAGTCTCCCTTCTTAATTAAGCAAACACACTACATTTCCCGCTATTCATTATTTCTACCCCACAAATTTCCATTTTTCAACACCCACCGCGTAATTAAAGTCAGAAATAAAACCTTTTGCTTCACTCAACCCTCGAATTCCCCATTCCCCATTTCTCTATCCTCAATAATTTTCCGAAAACAAAAAATTGCCAATTTTCTTCGATTTTAATTTTTGTGGATCAGATGGGGCAGCAGCAATCGAAGGACGAGCTTCTGTATCAGCAAGTAAATTATGGAAATATCGAAGGCATCAAATCTCTCCACCGTGAAGGCGCTGCCCTTGAGGTATCATTGATATGATTTTTCGTTGTGCATTAATATCATTTTTTGGGTCTAATTTTGGAATTTTTACATATGTTTTAGAATTTTACCAAAAAGAAGAAGAAGAATAAAGTGGAAAAAGTTGTGAAATTGATGAAATTGAGTTGCTATAGTGATGAAACACTGCGAATTTAGTTTATATTAATGGTTGACTGAAGTTAATTTGGGATTTTAACAGCTAAATATTGGTTTATTTGATTGATACTCCCGCGGTCCCAATTTATGTGTGTTGTGTAACTAGACACGAGAAAAAAAGATAAGTAAAACTTTGGAAACTTGTGGTAAGTCTCTCGTTAAGGGTAAAATGATAAGTTTAAAGTTAAATTGTTTCTACATATAGATGTGATAGACTAAAAACTAAAGTGCATCACATAAATTGGGACAGAGGGAATAATATATATTCCCATAGTGAGTTTTGATCATTTCTGCTTTATGCGAGACAACAACAACAACAACCCATTAAAATCCCAAAAGTGTGGTCTGGGGAGAGTAGAGTGTACGCAGACCTTACCCCTACGCCGAGGGGCAGAGAAGTTGTTTCCGGTAGACCCTAGGCTCAAGAAGACGAAAAGCGAGACAATATATTAGTAAATTTGAATTATGTGTAAAAATATCACTCAATGAATTATGACTGAATTTAAACTAGTTGGAGTCATCTATATGTGTAAAAATATCACTCAATGAATTATCACTGAATTTAAACTAGTTGGAGTCATATATATGAATCATCGGATTATCAATCCACAAATTTCGCGTTCAGAGGATTCATCATGATTAGACTATTTTTATGCTGGCGTACCCCAACCCTCCTCCTTAATTAGGGTTTAGGACTAGTTATGCTTTTTTTTTTGAAAAGGTAACATATCTAGTTATGCTTTGTGATGTTCACATAGAGGGAGTTTGTGTTTATAATGGATAAGAATATTACAGAAATCTGTGGTTATAATGTGTTTAAATGGGTTGATTTCAGTGGATGGATAAGGAGGGGAAGACGCCGTTGATTGTGGCGTGCATGAATCCTGAGCTTTACAATGTCGCAAAAACTTTGATAGAATTGGGTGCCAATGTCAATGCTTACCGTCCAGGTAACTAATCTTCTATGTCTTTGTATACTAAGATGGCAACTTGTGGTAGTGACTTAACCCGATAAAGTTTTGTGTAATAATGGGGTGAATTTTCTTAAAAGAGAGAAAACTCATGGAGCTAATTGAGAGGTAGTTCTTTGTGCTATCTTATATAGATTTTAGACCAGTCTCCTAAGGCCATTGTTACAGAGTATGTAACTCGAGATATGAGTGTTTCAACATGACATGTTAGACCTCATATTAAGTCACTTTATTCTTGCAACTATTTAACGAGAAAATGATAAATGCTAGTGTTATGAAATGGTAATTGATTTGTACAAGAGATACTCCAACACCTCACCATGTTTTACATGCTTTCATTTTCATTCATCTTAGCATAATTCACCTTTTCTCTTAAATAGGATTTTTGTTCCCCTCCAAGCATAAAATTAATGGTACTTTTCTTATTTTATTGTAGTGGTGATATTGTCTTTTCGGCTAACTGTTTTACCCATTTGAGATCATTTTAAAAATTAGGACACTTCCTGTTTAAACAGTTACCCCGTTTGTCAATAATAATATTTTAGTATTTGCTGTCACAAAAAAAATGAAATAATGGTTCACTCGCGAATCTTCTGACTTTTTCCCAAGTGAAATTCATGTCCAAACGCATACATATTTCAACTTCAATTTCAAATACTCTTATTTTGAACCTCAACCAATTATTGTCCAAACGCGTACGAAGTATTCTAATTTCAAGCTTTCTTATGTTAATCTGTTCTAATAAAAGTATTATCATTTATTTAGCATGCATGGAGTAACAATTTGGAATAGCAAAATCATGGTGCACATATTAATATCTATCAATATCGACAGAGATCAATCATTTTTTTTCCTTTTAATTCAAGCAATTGTGTATTTGCTTAAATAAGACATCGGTTATTACTAGTAAACTAAAATACTTTGATTATTTCTCAGCCTCTGTTTACATCTTGATTTAAATGAAGTGTCCTGCATTTATCCGTATACAAAAATTACATTTGTTCAATTTTCCAAATTCATTCCGTCACACCAAATAATGTGCATTCGACTCTCATCTAGGAAACAATGTCGTATTTACATAATCAGCATTATTCATCTGTTCTGTAAGTTATGGATATCTATCTGATCCTTCTGTAACACCCTTATGTACATCTTTAGGTCGTCATGCGGGGACTCCTCTACATCATGCAGCAAAAAGAGGTCTTGAGCAGACAGTGAAGTTACTCCTTTCACATGGAGGTATATCTACTCAAACACATATAATGCCTAATTCATTTGGGCTATGAGCGCCTTTCTGACTTGTTTGATTTCCTACTTGTCTCGTGTGTCTTAAGCAAATGCATTGATAATGAATGATGACTGCCAAACGCCACTTGATGTTGCCAGAATTAAAGGTTTCAGCAATGTTGTCCGTGGAATTGAGGTATATGTTCACACTTCAGTTTTATGTTTTTAATTCAACCCTTCAACTTATGCAAGGATTATGTTTCAATATTCTTTTCTCTCACACTTGTTATTTTCATGTAATGCATTAGAACCATATTTGCTTATTTTCTGGTTGGCTACGGGAACTTTACGGGCCTGGATTTCTTGAACTGTTCGCACCACAGTTGCTTAGCCGGAAAGTGTGAGTATAATGTTCATTTTGGGTTTTCACTAGAAAATTGTTTTATTTCTTTCAGACTTCAGAAATGCATATTCAGTGGTTATATTTAATGGAAATGGCAGGCAATGGTGTGTGACTTCATTGGTCTCACACCATCTCGTGTCGTTCTCCCCCCTTCTTTTGGCTTGTTATCCTATGTATTGCGCATTGCTGCGTGTTATTGATTTATGTGTCTTATTTCTGTTGCTACCAGTTCTTTTCACAGTTCAATAATTTGCTCTTGCCTTCTATTCTAGTTTTTAACATTGTTATCAAAATGGACTTACGATGATTCCACATTTTTATAGCTGGGTGGTTGTCTTACCATGCGGTTCCCGTAATCTCAGAAAGCCTTTCAAGTTGGAGCTTGCTATATATTCAGCTGTCCAGGTGAGTCTCCTATCTAATTGTTTACAGTGTGTAAGTTGGGAACTTAAAACTGTTAGATTTTTTGGAGGACCTGGGTAATTCACCTGTTTCTATTTTGTTTTAGACTTATATAGAGAAGCATTTACTAATGTACTATGTTTAAGTTTTAAAGACCTTTTGTAATACTGGATTGACAAACGAGATTCATATAGTTCGCTCCACGTGTTAAGCAATCAGCTGAATTCAGATTTTTACCCCTTTGTGATAGTCCTGGATGGTTTCTTTCTTTGGAACGTCTCTCAAAAACTCAACTCTTTAGCTTCTTGCTTTTGCTGGTCGATTTCATTCTTCCCTACCTTTGAGTTATATTTGGTTAGAAAAGTCAAGATCCGACTGTGTTGCATGTATTCTTTCCTGATTGTTGCTCATATCATATGCTTTCCGAATGGGGCCAGGGAAACTAATTCGTGTTTTTGAAAAGTCATATGCTTCATGCTACTAACTTACATAGTGTTATATCTTGAGCAGGATGCTCAGCCCCGCACAATAGTTGCACTGTGGAAGGCCAATATGGAGGAACCAAATTTCAGCCAGCCTGATCCAGCAGTTATCATATCCGATATTTCAAACAGTAATTTCCTAATGTTTTTTAAGCAGAGTTCTTATAGCTGCCATGGAATATTTCCATTTGAAGATGATTATTTCTTAATTTTCATGCATAGTCCCGAGGCGCTGGAGGCGAAGGCGAGGGATAATGCCCTCCCAAGGGATAAGGAATAGACCCCGAGGAGCTAGGCGTAAGTACATTGTATTCTGATCTAGTAAAAAGTCCCCCGGAAGAATGGGGTGACGGAATTTATAACGAGGGAAGGGCTATGCAATTTTTATGAACTTTTAGAGTCACAATAAGGCAGTTCTAATACTTGAAGGGACCGGTAACACAGTGCTGTATGCACAGTATGTGTTTGTGTCTGTTCATAGTATTCTTCCATGGAAAGGATATATATGGGGCTTGAAAAGTAGTTATTGGACCATGCCACTATTTGCTGAGAGCTGGTTCAAGTCAGTTAGAAGTTTTGCTGGCTGTTCTAATCAATTGCTAAGATTGTTCTCTCCTCTAAGCCTGTGCTTGACATTTAGGCTTTTAAATCTTATGGTCAAATTTACTCCACCAAGTGTCTGAAATGATAAAGCTTTTGCATCTTATTCTCATACTGAATTACTTACACATTTAAGCATCGAGGATCCGTATTGCGTGTTGCTTGTGCTATCATCTTCACCTCAGAATTAAAAACATTGTTAAGAAACTTGAGTTCTTAACCAAAATTGTCCCTTGTGTTTATGGCTGGTCTATTTTCATTCTTTAAATATACACCTGAGCTCATATCATCCAACAAGTTTGCTAAAGTAATGCAATCCAATTAGCGGAATGATACTAACCGGCCCAAAGAACTGACGGTGAAACCATGTGCCACTCAAATGAGCATGGTTAAAAAGAAAGGCCATCCTGAGTTGTCTTTCCCAATCCTCTAATCTCCCTTAATTCTGCACCCTTTATGGTGTCACGAGGTTTCATCATCAGTTGTTAGTTTTAAGGGTCAGTTAGTATCAATCTGTTGGTTAGGCCAAATATGCTCAGCCTTAGCAATCTTAAAGATTGATAAGTGTTCAGATGTTATTTAACTGATGAAAATAGACCTACCCATGCATAAGGGAAACTATTGGGTTAAAACGCTCAGAAACTGCATCTGCTAGTTTAAAGATTTGAAATGATTGTTCCATTTTGTAGAAATGAATATTAGCTTTGGGGGGCCAGGACAGAGTAATTATCTGCCTATCGCATGATTCTGTTGTTTAAGTCATTATTTGCATTATGCAACTTTATTACTGAATCAGTTTCCCCATTTTCAAAATGTTTATTGCAGAAACAAGGATTAAACTTACAGCTGTCCAGGAAAACGAAAAGCAGCAATTGCAGTCTTTCTGCAATGCATGCAAGGGAATTCCTCAGGTTAAATATAATACATCCTTTCTCTTCAGAAGTTATGTTTGCAGTCATGTCTAGATCTGCTTGCTTCTTCCCAACTGAACGATTTTTTGTTATATTCTTGAATTTTGCAACAAGGACTATGCTACCAGTGAAGACATAGAACTGTTCTTTTTGTAGTTAATGGAGTTAAAAACTTACTTTAGTTGCTATACCACATTTCCAGGTCATGCATCCAGCATTTCCTTTCAGATCTCAAACTCCTGTGGTCCCTGCAACTGCTCCTTCGACCACAGAGGATATGGAATTAGCAATGGCGATTAGTGCCTCTCTTCAGTCCGCTTCACAACAAAGACCAACCTATCATGAGAATCACCCAGGATCAGGAGCAGAAACATCAATGAATTGGATTAACCCTGTTGAGGTTGCCAGTCATAGTGATAGCTCTTTTACAGGGGCTTCTTCCCAAAAAGCTAGTAGTAGTGGCTGCCAGGTTGAGGAAGCCAGTTCAAGTGGCACTCAAGTTGAGCAAGTCCACACTTCTAGTGATACATCTACTGTTGTTGAAGCAATGCAAGAGAATCCGGTTACTGAATCTGTCCCAACAGCTCCTCCTCTTACGAGTGAAGTTATAGACGATGGGCCAATTCAGTATCCATCGATCGACGCCAGCCCAGTTGGCTTGTCTTCTCCGACTATTGAGAACTCCGGAGCACAGGAAAGCAGTAATCCTGATGGTGCTTCTTCATCTTGTATAATATGCTTAGATGCTCCAGTGGAAGGAGCTTGCATCCCTTGTGGCCACATGGCTGGATGCATGTCTTGTTTGAATGAGATCAAGGGAAAGAAGTGGGGCTGCCCCGTCTGTCGTGCCAAGATAGATCAGGTGATAAGGTTGTATGCTGTTTAACAGTTGAAGCAGCGAATGACTAAAGCCACAAATGTAAGCAATTCGGCAACCTCATGTCCTCTTTGCTTTTGTTTCACTAGATATAATAACAAAGTAAATATGTTGAATAATGTCATTCGCTCCTAGTATCAATTCTTCTTCTGAATCATAACCAAGTTTTGGGGTATTTCAACTTTTGTCTATATAGGCTCTTGTTTGAGTAGCTCTTGGTTTTCTGCTGTTAGCGTATAACCTTTTGGGTTTGTTAGTGAAGGCATATACTAGTATTATTTAGGGCCTTTTCCAGTTTGAAGGAATTTGGAGGGATGATAACTGGAGCCACGTCCTTATTGCCTATCGACTTTTGAATTCTTCTGAACCATCTGTATTGAAATCCTTAGTAAGCACTAGCTTTCCTGGTAACTAGAAAAAGGGAGGAAAATGTGCTTTGCTTTTGGGAAAAAAGTTTTTTGATCTACCAGTTGTACATTACAGACGTTCTTGCTGTCCTTCAAAAACATTTAGGAAATATGATCAATTTTGGAACTTATAGGTGTTTCCGCTATTCTATTAAAAATTATTTTCTTCTCTTTAGAACATGTCCCTTCCTCAACATATGTGCTTACGTCGAAGAGTACGTACATATATTTTGCAGACGAGTGCTACCAGATGTTCTGATTTGCTGAATGCATTGTCAATTTTTTACTATTCTTGAGTCAGACCCATTGAATATGAAGTAAACTAAAGTAATATGTATTGCTGACTGAAAGACTTGATGGTTATGAATAGGATTGTACTGCAGATGATATATGTTACAAGATTCCTTACTGGCAGCTGACGAGCTATATACTTTCTCACTTTGCAGGCATACACACAAGTTTCTCACTATTGAAAATTGTGAGTTTTGTATACATATATATGCTAGTTGTGTTTAAGATTCTTGAAAGGAATCAAAATGCTATGGTTGCCTTCATGGTTTATCGTTCCGGAGAATGTAAATTACTTGTGCAGAGAACCGAGAAGTGAAACTCTTACTGGAATTACAGATGTATTGATACAATCCTGTGTATAAATTTGTTTTATTGAGACCTTTAATATGGTCAGCACTGCCGAGGGTCTTTCGAAAAAAGCCTCTCTACCCCCTCGAGGTAGGGACTAGGTGTAAGGTCTGTGTGCACACTACCCTTCCCAAACCCCACTAGTGGGATTTAATTGGGTCGTTGTTGTTGCTTTAATATGGTACTTCAGTGCATTTATTAAATCTTAGAAGGCACTACGCAGTGGCGGAGGCAGGATTTCCGCTAAGGGGGTTCAAAAAGGAAAAAAGTTACAAAAGATTGTAGCTAGTGGGAATTGAAGCAAGGACATTACAAAGATTTTGAACCCCTTGACCACTAAGCTATGCTTTTGGGCTGTGTCAAGGGGTAAAAAACAGATTTTGCCTTATATATACAATGTAATTTTTCAGCGAAGGGTTCGGGTGAAGCCCTTTCCGCGCCCCTAAATCTGCCCCTGGCACTACGATGGACAATTTAAGTTAATAGTTCCTTAGTAAGCTTCCCAAATGGAATGTCTAGGGTACGAAAACACTTGCATACCTCCTCAGTTGAGCCATTGCACGGAGCTTGTCTAGTGCGGTTTACCTTTTTGTGTGATTTACGGACTATTACATAGGAGCGGGTTTACCTTGTGCGCACCCGAAGGGTAGCGACCGAGGGTTTTCTTGTTAACCAAAAAAAAAAAAAAAACGAATCGATCCAATTGCGTCAATTTAGTTGATGGCACTAATTTCAACTTCCTTTTTGTAGATTATTTTATACTCGAGTCTTGTAAAGAATTATCGTATCTTCAAGGAATTATCTTATCTTCAAGGGATTATTTGAAGATTTGAAAATCACAATTTAAGACGAAGTATCATAAACTTCACTCTATTCATCTGAACTATAGTCCTTATTAACTATGTAAAGATAGAAAAAACAATGTATATTCAGATTTTATAATCAAAGAAAAACTTGAGACGCTATTAACAATACAACTAAACAACTAAACACGAAGAAATTTTCTAGAAGCAAAAAGTAGAACAAAAGAGAATGATATATTGCACTTATCAATTGTCATCCCCCCAAAAGTCAAAGGAATAATTGTTTGGTGATGGCGTTGACTAGAGGGAATTTCAAGTTGGCGTTTATAAGTTTATTTAATTCATGTTTAATTAGAATTACTAATCAGAATTATATAAAAATAGGTTTTCCTATTATAGCTTATTTTATGTGTGAATACTAGTGATTTCTAATAAAATATTTTCCTTCAAAATTTAACAACTAATTCCATATTTGAGAAATTCAAGCAAGTCATTGACTTACCGGAGTTTCAAACTAGGAATTTTTATCTGTTATCGTCGCCGGCGCCGGTGAAATGAGTCGGGCGAGGAATCCGATCAACATAAGAGAATTTACTAGAAAGATCGAAGTTGACAATCAAATTCCTATCCAATATTACTACAGGATCGCTGATAACTTTCTCAAAGAGGTCCCCTTCGTTCTCTCTCGTTAACTCTTTCTATTGCTATGTGTCTGCTAATACTTGTTCTAATTTAAAATTGTCTGCGCTTTGCTGTGTATATCTTTTGCCAATAAAATCTGTACACTACTAACTTTCATGTTTGTACGCTTAGTTTGTATGTCAACAAAGACTATAAAATATGTTCCATGGGAAAATTGCAATAGAATTTGTTGAAAGAAAAAGGTAAAATATTTTCTTTTATGTAATTCTTTGAAAGGAAAATGGAATTCAAAATAAAAAGAAACAATTTTTCGTCTCAATACTCGTATTCTACTTATATTGCTCGGGCTCTCCAAAAATGTTAGTTGTCGGATCCTCCAAAAGTAGTGCACTTTTGGAGGATCCGACGCGGGTGTGACAACATTTTGAAGAGTCCATGCAATATTGTATTCTACTAAAGGATAGCCAAGCATCCCACATGCACGCGAGGTCCGGGGAAGGGCCGCACCCCAAGGGGCGTGATGTCGGCAACCTACCTTAGCGTAAGCATTGGCGATTGCTTCCACGGCTCGAACAGGTTACCTATAGGTCACACGAAACTAACTTTACCGTTGCTCCAAGGCTCCTCTTCAATACTCGTATTCTATTGTGTTTACTAAATCTGAAGGAATGAACTTCCATTCAACGGAACAGCTCTTACTTCCTTCTTTTCACAGCCTTATCATGCATACAAAATTTCGGAGAGTCAAGTACTTTTCAGCACTTTCCCTAATTTTCCTTGTCAACCAAATGATAAAGTTAATTTTATAGTGAAATAGCTAAGGATGACAGAATGTGAGCATTTTCAGGTGGTCCATACGGTTAGCTAGGTAAGAACTCTATGGCCAAGACTGAAAATTTTATTGTTTGATGAGCGAATAAACTCTAAATCTAACTATAGATTAGAACTTTAGATTGCTGCTGTTGAAAATTGAGATGATCTTATTATGCTGAACGGGAAATTTCTAGTTTGTATCTTCTCGCTTGCACCCGCCCTATGCGTGTGAATATTGGACATAGTATCAAACTGTATAGGCAACAAAATCATGTAATATAATGCTTGCCTTTTGGTTTCATTTCTGTGTTCTTATCCGAGCTTTTTGTTTGGGAAGTGAAAAGGGTAGGGGTTGGTGAATGTTGGGAGAGTTAACAAAATGGATAGTTGCAACATCTCTGCCATAGTCATCTGATCAATTATATTGCCGACATAGAAACTCTAGAATTGGAGTAGAACCATATTGCTTTGCACGCTAAACACCAGGTATTAACAGGACAACGGTGACATAACGAAATCTGATGTTCTGTTGGATGAAAATGGAAGAGGAAACAAGGAAATTCAATTGTAAAGTTTGATTAAATGTGTAGCTTGATTTCGTCGATGCAAATGAAATGGCTGTTAGTATAACATCTGGAGACAAAGGCATACTATAAGTCCTCTAGTTCTATGCTCTATGCGAGTGTTAATAAGATTATCTGCCTTATTGTATGGTGCTCTTTTAAATACTATAAGTCTTTGTTTACACACCATTGCTTGACTCTGAGTTGACGACTTGGCGTACCAGCTTTATTTTAAACTTCTGCTTCATTTTCCTCTAGGCAAACAATCATCGGCAGGAGAACAATATCATAGATCTCTACATTCTGCTTCTCAGATACGCAGGGTAAACATATATTTCCATGTTGATAACTTCTTGAGGGCATATTAACACCTATCTATGAGTAATTTGTTAAATATATGTGTTCGTGCTTCCAGTATTTTATCAGAAACTATACCTTTCCACCGAGACTACATTACTTCAAATGATACAGAAAAGAGATCTTACAGAAAGGTAATTAAGAAGTGCCTCTAATATCTAATTTGTGAAAGTTGCATGTTCATATTTGCAGCCTCATGGATGTTGAATTAATCATTAGTGATGCGATTTCAGAAATTACTGGATGTCGTTCGTGAGCTGGAGTCCATAAGGCCAGAAGTTGAAAAGGAAACTACTAAAGTGAACAAAGAACATGCATTGAAGGAACAGAATCGACTAAACAATTTGAGAAAAGCGCAAGATGTTTCACAGGCATCATCGTCTAGACAGCCGCCTGTTAGTAGAATGGCTTCCTTATGGCCAGATAATAAGCAGGTAACATTGCATTGTTAAACTTTCTTATTGAAACATTTGTTTATATTCTCATTCTTCTCAGATTTGATTTATGCACAAAAATTGTTTATTGACAACCAATTGTTTCTAGGCAAGGCATTCAAGACTGACTCTCAATATCCGTCGCCCTGTTATCCCTGGAACTGTACCTTCAGCACCACCAATTGACAATTTGGTCATAGATAATAATGCCCCATTGCCATCTGATTTAGACGAATCTAGTTTTGTGGATTCATCTTCTTCAACAACAGAGAAGTTAACGAAGAGACACGACGGAGGGAGTACTAATACTGCTTCATCATGTATTATATGCTTTGAAGCTGCAATTGAAGGGGCTTGTGTACCATGTGGCCATATGGCTGGGTGCATGTCTTGTTTGAATGAGATTAAAGCTAAAAGCTGGGGTTGCCCTGTCTGTCGCACTAAAATCGAGCTGGTTTTACGTCTATATGCTGTTTAACAATTGAATATCTTGGGTGTAAATGTTTTTAGAATTTCCATTTATCTACTTTGCTGTGTTCTGTAAATTGTAAAGCAAAAGACATGTCCGTTTCCAAGTTCTGGTTCTCAGCTTCCTTGTTTTTTTACCATGTTGCAAAAGTTGGCAATGTGTATTAAGTTTAATAGTCCAAGGCTCCAAGCTATGCCTCATAAATAACCCACGTAATTTCTTTCCTAGCATGTGTTATTCTTGCTATTGTTGGTATTTTCTGCAGCTTGATGTCATTTTGAAATGAAGATTGAAGTGTCTGAGCTAAGCTGGAAATGTACTGTGGTAGAAATATATTATTCATGGCAGCTTTTCGGTTATATTTTTCTTGTGCAAATGTGCTTTAGTTTGCAGACTTTTGAATTACAGTGGTTCTTGAAAGAAAGTTGAATTCTGTTTTTGCATCTGATGAAGGTGTGATTTAGTTGCATAATTGTGGTTCTTAAGGCTGCGTACAATAAATCCTTGTGGTTCGATCTTTTTTCGCTTAGTGCATCGGACGGCTTTTTTACTGTAGTTGTGAAGCATTTTCCTGGTTCTTACCTTCTTAAAGATATGTTATATCGAATCAATTTCAAGTAAGCCACTCAATGAAATCAAACTCCTAAAAGTCAAAAACTTTTGTTTTCACTCTACAAAGCATAAATACTTGCTGATATGAAAGCAGAAACGAAATGAGATTGGTTTATTGTATTCATCCACACATTATCGATAGCTTATGATTAGTAAAAAATGTTTTTTTGAATGATTAGATAAAGAAAATTGTTTAGAGAAGATTAAATGTATCGGAAATGAAAGACGATTTATGCTATCGAAAATATTACTATAAGAATATATGTTCTTAGCACGTCTACTTCTCCATCTTTACTCTAAAAGCCAGAAACCTTTTCTTTCACTTTACATCTCTTTCTTCAAATAATTATCTCATTAAATCTTTGAAATTTTTCTATTTACATAATTAATGCAAGTATATCGATTTTTCTTCTCAAAGTTTCTGAGGATGGTGTTTGACCAAAAAAGTTCAAACCTTTTTGTTAAACTAATTAAGTGAATGATAATAGGTAAATTCTAGGTAAATATAATAAGTTCTAGATCCAAGATTGGTGAGAAATAACAACCTAGAAATCGCATTTAAAGCTATTTATGACCAGAAAGTGGTTTAATGATATTCTTGTGAATAAATAAAGGAATAAAGATAAGCAATAAATATGATGAATGGCAATAACTGTAAATAAAGAGAATAATTCACCAAAATATGTAACAAGGTGGATGATTCTCTTTCTGACGATGATGTAAGACTTTATCGGATCTAGTGTGGAAAAGCTTAGAATAATGCAACAAAACCAAATATTGCATAAAGATGATGTTTGTAGTTATGTGGTAGTCAACTTCTCTAGAGAGAGCATATCAAGATCAGTAATAATTGGTTCCCTTTCTTTCTCTCTCTCTTCCTGCTTATACGGGACATTCCCCTTACCTACTAAAAGTACAAATACAAAGAATATTCCTCCGAATATTCTTTAGAAATGCCTTATAACTAAACTAGCCGTTTGGCCGATCTGAGTGCTCGACCTCGGCATTCACTGCTCAGCTCGCCAATGTTGCTTATTAAGCATGACCTCGGCCTAATTGATTCTTGATTTCCCTATTTCAGGCGAGTTCTCTTCGATTAGATTTTGACCCATACAGTTAGTCCCTCCGCCCGTCGGGGTTGCTTTTGGGCGAGCTCAGTGGGCGGACTTTGCCAGTTGCAATTTTGAGAAATTTGAGCACATTGGCCGATGAGTGACCCTTTTTTTGGCGAGGTGGTGACGTGGCGCTTCAAGAGCCACACCTGGCCGTTACGTCAATTTGAAATGACATCATTCCATCATGCGTCATTGTGGCGCATGTTCCCCATACGTTACATCGCTTCCCGCGCCTCTTCTGTTTCAAAATTAATGAGGCGGCGTTTGGCCTTTCTCGATTAGGGTGCCCATATTCTTATAAATAGGGATGGGCACTCCTCATTCGAATTGTTGCACTTCTAAAGCCTTTGAAGCCTGAGTTCTTTTCTTCTTCGAGTTCCCAGCTTCTGTGTTCTCTTTCTCCCTTCTGTGTCTTTTGCTACTGTCATCTCCTTCATTTTTGTATTTCCTTTTCGCATACAATCGAAAAGTGGCCAGTGCTTCCTTTGATCCTGTGACGCTGGCTGCGGACGCACCTCCTCATGAGGAAGGAGCAGCCACGGTAGAAGATGAAAACTTCCCCATCGTGGATGAGATAATCCCATGTTCCGAGAAAGCTAGGTCAGACTTCAAGAACCTACCTGAGGATAAAACTGAACCTGTCGTTTCTGTGATGGATGCGGTGGCGCTTGCTGCATTTAGGGCTAAGTGGCAAATTCTGGCCCACGTTGAAATTGTCCCCGCTGGTAGTGATGTAGTACAAATACATAGCCCAGGTTACGCGTACCCATTCGTCATCGGTTACACACTTCCCCTTCCTTCCTTGGCGGAGGATTTTTGCCGTTTTTATAACATGTGCCCGGCTCATCTCTCTCTGTACATATACAAGTTCTTCCTCATGCTTATCAAGTATGCGGAGCTGTCCAACCGTGATATTTCTCTCTGCCATCTTCTTCACCTCTTCGCCCCAAGTTTTCACAGGGGCATGATGATTCATATGCACTACCGTGGGACCAAGGGGTTGGTGGTGAAGATGGAGGATAAAACTAATCGTCGTTTTTGGAAAAATTTCTTCTACGTGAAGACAGAGCACGTGGTATCGAACCCCAGCGGATTCCCCGAGGAGTGGAACTTTGCTCGTAAGTGTTTTCCTTCCAAATGAATTCGTTGTTTATTCTGGGTAACCTGATTGTTCTCCTTTTATTTTTGCAGTCGAGCAGGAGCCTCCTTCACCAGTCGCTGACATTCGCGACTGGGTGAGTCATGTTTTGCCTCATACTGTGGGGATTCACGAGTGGTCGCACTTGAATGAGAGGTTTAGGCGTAGACCTGCGACCGGTGCGTTACCTTTGACTTTGATTGTTCGACCTTTATATCGCCGTTTCTATCTTCTCTTATTTATCTTTCTTTGTTTATAGGTCGGAGGGCTTTAAGGAGGGCGAGGGCTCCTACGCCTGCTTTTTTCCAGTTAGGTATCTCGGTCGAGCCCGTACTCGCTGTAGCTGCAAGTGAACCTTCTCAAGCTGTTGTTATTCCTCGGACCCCGGCCTCACATGGTCCTAGTCGCCATGTTACTGCCACACTTGCTGAAATTCTGGCTTCTACGGTGTTTCACTTGGTTGATGAGTCAGACCAGGGCGAAGAGGAGAGGCTCCGTTAAAAAGGCAAAGGTTAGAAGCAGATAGGAGAGTGGTAGGAGAGGAGTCGGTGGTGAGTGAACCTGAGTTGACTATGGCCGAGCTGGGGGCAGTATGGCATTGGATGTGAAGACCGCGCCTCCTTCGAACGTAGAGATCACCTTCGTGGAGGAAGGGGGTGACCAGAGGCGGTTGTGATCACTCAGAGTGGTCCGTCAACATCAGGGCAGGCCAATGTTCCCTCTTCGACTGAGGAGATGGTGAAGAGAGTGATCGTAGATGATTACGAGTCTGGCTCCGGTGTCGATCCCGAGGAGGCGAGGATATTCGACGAAGGGCTTACGCGTGTGAAGGTGAGAATGGATGGATCCTCTCACTCGATCGTAATTCCTTTGGATTGCGATTTGTTGGAGGATACGGTGAGCTTGGTCCCCTCCTTTGCTCCTCTTTTCTTTGTCGCTGAAAACAGGACTCTTCAGCATCTCCGGGATTCTGACTTGTCACTGGGCATATCCGGGATGGCTCTGAGGGCAAGCTTTTGTATTATTTCTGCAACTGGCATCTTTTTCTTCTCTTTACCAGTCTTCTTACTCTCTTTTTCTTTTTCAGACTTTCATTTTGGAGATTGAGAGTGCCCGCCGTGAAGAGAGGCGGAAGGTCATTTTTCAAAAGATGGCTGCGAGTATGTCCGTTATCATGACAAGTACCGTGAGATGCATGCACGGCTTAGAGCAGGTGGTAACCCCCAGTCCTTTAGGGAGGAGTTGGATCAGAAGGACGAGGAGCTTGTGCGAATTGTTGGTGAATGCAGTGAGCTTGAGGGGTTGCTCAGGGCCAAGGACAAAGAGCTCGAGGTGAGCAAGGGGGTCGTGGCCGAATGCATCGACCTTCAAGCGCAGGTGACGACTTTTCGGGCTGAGCTTGAGCAAAGCTCAATTAGAGTTGCCGGTCTGAGTAGTGAGTTGACTAGGAAAGTGGCCGAATTGGTAAAGTCCGAGGAGGCTCGGGTAGCGGTTGTGGCAAAGGCGGCGGCGTTAGAGAGCTCTATCTGAGTCCTTAGGTTTGAGCGTGCAAACATCGCGGAGACGGCTGTGCTGAGGGAGACGCGGCTTGATGAGCGGATTGGTGGTCTTGAGAAAGAAGTTGAGAGCTTAAGTGAGCAGGTCGCCGCCCTCGAGGCTGAGAAGGCACAATTGTTGGTTTGGCCTTCTTCCTCTCGTGCTTCCGCTTTTCCTGATGTTCCTCGTGATTTGTACGAGATGTGGATCCATGCTGAGGCAAAGCTGGATGTATATAGGAGCTTGATGGCGACAGGGAAGGTTCCTGATGCCGACTTCGAAGATGCCCGTGCTAAGGCACGTGATGCCATGCTTGCCTATGGTTATGACCCTACCACGCCGAGGAATGGCGATGATGAAGAAGACTTGGGTGGGGCTTGCATCCGATCCTTGGTACGATGATGAGTACGATGATGGCGCGTGCGAAGGTGGAGACGGCGCCAGCGGAGATGATGCAACGTGATGATGCAGTGTGATTTTTTTGTACTTATATTTTTTGTGTTTTTGCTCTTTTCTCTTTTTCTCTCTTTTTTTGGAGGGGGGTCTTTTTGGCCCTTTGTAAGATACTCTATTTCGGAATGGAATGACTATTGTCTTTTTGCTGTATGTTTTGGCTCTTTTCATTTTTCTTCGTATGCTTCTTCCTTTGTAAGAGTTCTCAACTTAGTTGACGTGACCGAGGTCAAATGTCGATTATTTTGAGCGAGGGCGAATGCGAGTTGATTCAAACGAGGTCGAATTTCTGACTCTTTAAATGATTTGAATGAGGTCAAATGTGAGTCTATTCGAACAAGGTCGAATGTCTGACTCTTTAAACGATTCGAACGAGGTCGAATGTGAATAAATTCGAGCGAGGTCGAATGTGAGTCTATTAGAACGAAGTCGAATGTCTGACTCTTTAAACGA